AGCGGTTCATGTTGGAGTTAAAACAGCAGTTACTTTTACTGAAATTACTGCAACACAGATAAGATTATTGGCTTTGGTCTTTTTAATGGGATTTGTTGACAATAAGATAAATGGAGCTCCTGCCAATAACAGAAGTTGAACCTTATTGAATCTGCTCAGTTTTAGTTGAGATCAAATCACCAGAAATGGTGCAACAACTAAATATTCAGATCTTAGCCGTGTCCACTGACATGCTGCAGGGGACTATAATGAGAAAAATGTGTTTGGAAGTCAGATACACAGGTAAAGCAAAAGGAGTGGAAAAGGAATGGAAATATAAGGACACAGAGTTTTTCCAGGCCTTACTTTTTCTCCAGACACTCCACATACTCTTTCTTCTTCCTCCGACTCTCCTGAGCTGAGATCTAGACAGAAAACCAAACAAACATTAGGAGCTATTTCAGTCATTTTTCATTCAATGCTTGACATGATGAGACTACTTTTGTTCTAGTATCTCCATTTAATGTCTTGGCTGAGATGACTGATGTCAGAGAAATGCCACCACTGATTCATCTCCGTTTCACCCTCAGAGCAGACGTCAGTCAGATGGTCAGCTCAGCTGTGAGCACAGACCGACAGTTTACCTTATTTTTAATCTTCCGTCGGACTCTCTTCAGTGCCTTCTCTTCACTCTTAGTCAGAGGAAGTTTGTTGGGGACTGGGTATCCCTCAGCAACCAGGGTCCTCTTCTCTTCCTCTGTCAGCATGAGGGGTCCTGAGCCCTGCAGCTTCTACACAAAGAAACACGCATGTCCTAATAAAATTACAACTATTATCAACAATTTATGTTCAAATAAACCCTGAAGGGGTTGTGTTGTGATTTTACAGCAGTCCAGCTGTTCAGATGCATCAAATCAATTCCTTGCTGACTCTGAACAATTCTGTATAAACACTTGGTCATTACACCAGGCACAAATGTGAGTCATTAACTTGAAAAGCTGCTGAATCAGAAAGACAATGATCAGAGAGTGAATTCTCTGACTTTTATTGAACAGGTCTCATTTTGTCAGCAGAATGAGGGAATTATTTAACCCCAAAACTGCAGCGGGTTTCACAATGAAATCCTCACCTGCAGGACAAAAACACGCTCCCTCAATTAGCTCAGCTCAACCTGGATTTCAAGCTTGTCATTTTTACAAAACCTAATTTCAAAAAGTGAACTTATTTTCTCATTATTTACAGCCCTAAAATGAATTCTAACAGAAAAGTATAACCCTGTCAATGTAATTAAACAAAATGAGGAGGGATGTTCTTTCACTCACATGTGGTGCAGTGAGGAGAGGTGACGAGGAGATGGCTGAGGACGAGGAGGAGGATGAACGACCTCCTGGCCTCTGTTGGGGTTGAGGGGAAGATGGCGGCAGAGCGAGGTGTGGGGAGGAGGGAGGGAGGGAGCCGTCACTGTCACCGTGATTACTGCTAGGAGGGGTGGGCGGGAGCTGGAGGGCATCGTCTTCACAGGAGGAGAGTGTTGAGTCAGTGTTACAACTTTACCTGAGCACATTCACCGCTTCACTGCTCTCTGTTGATGCCTGACACACGAGTGATCTGTTTTTGTGTTGTACTGTATCTGCTACAAAATGTAGGTCCACAAAAAATGTTATGATTGATTCTGAAATTCAGTATTCTTGTGATTATTATGACATTTGGCTAGAAATACAAATATACAGCCAGGAAGCCTGACTTCCTTATTGCCTGTCTTGGTCCATAAGGGTAGCAATGGCTCGCCGGAGGGCAAAGTGATCTCAAAAAGCTCTTTAAATACATTTTAGGCTCAGTTTCAGTAAGAAATTTTTGAATGCTTTACATCCCTGGCTGAATAGACAAGCTCAGAGGAACAAAGTCCCTAATATGTTTTTGACGAACAGTTTTGTTTTGGGGTTATTTGATTTTTGCTACAACATGTGGGTGTGTTTGTGCATCTGCTGTATCTACCGCTGGGCACGCTGAGGTACTGTCCAGTCTCTCTGGGTTCATCTTTTATGGCCACCGGCTTCACGTCGTCTTGACTGCGCTGCTACAGAAACAACAAACACACAAACAACAACACTGTTGATCAACCAGTGAAACTCATCAACACAATGTGTGTTTTGTTGTTGTGCAACAGGCCTGATGGATGCTAACCGTGTGTCTCCATCCTCTGTGCGGGGGAGCAGGGCTTAATATGAGAGGTGGCCCCTCCACAGGCTGAGGATCTAACCTCTGACCCACATCAGGCTCCTCCTGTTTCACCAAGATGGCCGACAGATCCTGACTGAAATTCCATTCGAACTCTAAGGAAAAGACAGAATACCATACAATAAATGTCCACATGTACATTTACAAATATATCCTTGTGTCCATTTGGCAGGTGTATTACTCAGCAGGTCCTTCTCTGTGAGAGGAGGCTCTCTGTAGGGAGGCTTTGCTGTAGGTCTTCTAATGGGATGTAACTCACACTTTGAAAGAGCTTCCCCAAAATGTTTGAGCACTTCCTGACAAGACTGGTTATTATAGGCTGCTGGATGACATCGCTCTTGCAACGGCAGGGCATAATCTGTCTCCAGTAAAAGATAGGCTGAACCAGAAACTCATCGTCAATATCCTTCTTCAGAAAAGAAACAGCTGCAGCCTTTAAACACTGAAGAGAACATGTATAATCAAGACCCAACAGCAAGATCAGAGTCAAAGGAAAGCAAAATGAGGATATATTTCACAAAGCATCACACAGGTAGTGCATTGTTTAGTCTACTGAAAGCAGCAGAACAGATTTTTAAGGACATAAGTGCCAGTACAGGGCTGCAGAGAAGCTAATCACTGATGCTCCTGGTACACTTGGTGACCTGCCGGGTAAGATGATGAAGGGGCTCTGGCAGCACTAGCCTCCTGAAATGACCTCTGACAAAGTAAAACTTACAGGGACCTGTGTTTATTGTGGATCACTATCACAATCCCTCAGTGACAGTCAGTGGGAAGTGCAGAAAATCAATACTGTTCAAACACTTATTGTTCAGCAGACAGCAAGACTGAGATGTGTTTTCATCCCACTGTGCTCAAAAAGTTCCTGATGGTGTTGCTCAAAACTTTTCAAAGTAGATTTTATGGGCAAATATTAGGGACAAACTCCATATAATTGCCCCAAACAAACAACATGACGGTACTGAATACTGTATTTCGACTGTGCTCAGTGGGATAATGGCAGCGTGAACTCCCACACAGCTCAGTAGCTTATAACATATGACATTGTGCTGCTCCTGCAAGAGGGCCTGGAGAAAATCTCACCACTGGGAAGAGACAGTCATGTCCCCTTGGAGATGTCTTGCAAACCAGGATTACTGAGTTAACTGGATGACTGCACAGGAACAGATGCTTTTCTGTTCCTGCTCCAGATTTGGTTGTTCCCAGATTTTACTCTGTACAGCATCCAGCTAATTCATTCCTCATTGAGAAACAGAACCCAGATGCTGCAATCACCAGCTCTATACACTCCACAGTTTACTGCCTTCCTCTTCTAGCTCTGATCTCTCCATCTGGTTTCTCAATAGGCGGCTGTAAAGGAGCATTCCACCAGTTTTACACATGAGGATCGTGTTTCCTTGTCATGGGGAGTACTGCTAAGCCTGTGAAGGTTGTATAACTTTTTCTGAGGCTCAGAGGAAGCTTTGTCAAGTCTGAACAAGTGACTCTGATGAATGTGAGACTTAAAATGTTTCATGTAAGTTACAAACTGGGGGTCTAATGTTGTTAGCTTGACCCATATTTCAGACTAAGCCTATTCTGCATCACTTGTACCCAGTCTTTTTCTCAATCTACCTCATGCAAGCTGCCTAACTTTATGGAGGTGCAATGCTAAACCTGCTGGTAAACCTTTAGAGTTACATAACACACAATGTTTTAATGGCAGCATTATTAAATCAAATAATAACAATGTTGAAATCTTTTATACACATTTTTACACACTTCTTACAGTTAGTTAAAATAATTGTTTAATTGGACAGTGCTGGTCTGCACAGCACAGTGATGGAGACGTTGATGGGTCTGCATGAGCTGAAGGTTAAGTACGCCTTCAATAAAGACGTGAACACCAGGTCAGGCACTTTGATGTCTCCCGCGGCGTGTGGAAAGAGCAGTCGCAGTTTAACAAGACAAGAGCTGCTGTGTGTGTTTGTGTGCACATCATTTTAATCACCTCCTGGTTTCCTGGCAACATCCTGGTGGTAAAATGCTCTGACGTTTACAAGCAGAGTGTATAAGCTGAGGGGAGTGGACCCTCAGGTTAGGTAGCTGTAGGAGCAGCCTGTAAATAGTGCTTATGTTCACTATCACTTTACGGACAGATTATTTTCTCAAGTCACTGATGCACTGTTTGGCCTATTAAATGTTACAAATTGGTGGCAAATGTTCATAATTTTCAAAAGCCCAAGGCAATGTCTTTAATTGATTATCAAAATATTTGTCAATTAATTTTGTTGCAAATGACTAATCAACCATTCTTTTCACCTCCACTGTACAAAAGGTTTAACTCGAGTAACTGTAAATCACACCTGTGCATTGGCATGAAAAGCACAGCTGCAGGAAATAAAATAACATCATGTAGCTGTGACTGAATTAAGCCAGTGAGCATGCAGTGACATGTGACTGTTAGCATCAGCTGATCTCCCAGGTGTCAGTCTTACTCCGGTCCATCATGCTGAAGGGTGCTTTAGTACAAGTCTTTCCACAGACTGAGCTCTAAACACATTCATTACAGCCTCCCATTCATATTTATTTGTTTAGTTGTTTGATAAGAATATCACTGTGCATCACGGTGACTAGATGAGAAGAGCTCAGTAGTAGCCTGTGAAGTCAGTTTTCACTCTGTCCTCTCTGTAAGTGAGACCCTAACGAAGCTCTCCTAACGAGGCTGGTCGTGCTGCTCACCTGAGCCTCGCTAAGCCACGGCTCGACTGGGACCCTCTAACACATGGTTTTAATGGATACCAGAAGACGTTAGCTGTGAGCCACTACATTGTTAATATTTGCTTGCACATCTGTGGCTACTCTGCTGGTCTCATCAAAATGAGTGACACAACTTTGAAGTCTGATTAAAAATAATGGATTTTTGATTGTTTTTGGTGTTCATTTCCAACAGTACATGATGGTGGAAAGTTAACTTTTTGACGTCTGTTATTTTTCCTTCATACCCCCAGAGCTGCTCTTCATACTCAGATGGGATGTTGGCTTGATTAAGGCATAACTGACAAAAAACTGCAAGTAAACTTTGGCACTGAAGAAGGAAAAGTGGAAATGTCACATACAGTATAGTAGCTAAGACTAATTAATCCATTATATAGAGAACTATTAAGGGTTCTGCTCATACATGAAGCTTAAATACATATAATAGAATGGAGCATGATGAAAACTATCTCATAAGTTATTAAATGCTAACTTATTTGTATACCACTCCTCTATGCAGTGCAGTGCAGTACACTCAGCCAACGGGAGCAACCTGGGGTTTAGTATCTTGCTCAAGGACACTGACATGTGGACTGGAGAAGCCAGGAATCAAACTGTCAACCCTCCGGTTAGAAGACAACTCACTCTACCTCCTGAGCCACAGCCCAGCCTGAACCTTGGTCAGGGGATATTTTCTAATGACAGGACATGACATTTAGTTGAACATTAAATTTGATTTAAACACAAACACAAGAGCAGAACAACAGCAAAGCTCTTCTGTTACCCACCTGTTTCAGACTCTAAGCAAACTAAGGAAACACACCTGTAAATGCAAGGGTCACACAGGTATTTACAGATATAAGCAGTGGCTGCCCTGCCTCTTGGCAGATGTGATACGCCGCTCAACCCAACATGGGGTCTGTCACTGGCCTAATCAGGTCACGTGATTGATCCTGCCGAAAAGGACTGCATCATTTAGTTTCTGCTATGTTGCCGGTAAATCACTGCCATATCATAAAAACGATGATGAACATGAACAAGCTCATTTTTTTGTTTTTTTTACACCGGAAGCAATTTTTCTTCTGTAACAAAGACTTCAGAGTAAAGTGACGGTACATTATTTGCATTAGCAACCCCTTTTGGAAACATGTGAAATAACACTTGTGCTTGTGTTGCGTTACAAACTTTTGGATGGCATGCTTACATAGAGTCTGAAAGAGCTCCAAGTGTTGACAGTCTGTGTGTTGCAGCCCACATAATGAATAGTATACACTAACAGTATGTGCAGGGGCTTTAACATGATGTTGGACATACTGTGTTGTATTTGTGTAGTACTGTCCTGTGTGAAAAAATGTGAAAGGTGTCCTGGGTAAAAAAACAACAACAAAACAAACCTGATTGTCTCAGTCACCATTAATGGAATATGTGTTAAGAGTCTGTGTGTGGGGGTAAAATGCTGAAGCTGAAGGAGAGAAGTCCTCCCAGAGAGCAGTGGTTAATGACCAACGGCTCCTGGCAGTCGTGACAGGGGGTTAACGAACGAGAGGTGGTGGCTGTGTCTGATCTCAGTGTGACAGCAGCAGCATTAAAACAACAGATGGAGCAGCTCATTAGGAGCTACAGTAAAACAGCAAAAGCTAAATCTTTGTGCACAATCCACCATGTTTAATAGGTGACCTCCATACTCTGCTGTTGTGAAATGCTGATTGGCTTGCTGTGTTGCTGTCCTGTTTGTCAGTGTCAGCACAACAGAGGTGACACAACAAACACACACCATGGTTCCACAGAGGCCCAGACAACCAGGGGCCCTGAGGTTCACTGTCTGTCGGTTTACTTGCTTGGAAACTTGCACCACATTATCAACCAACCAGTATGCCAGTGCCGGTTCATAGCTGTGCATCCTCTGTGAAAAATCAAACCTAGCAGAGATTTACAATGTGCTGTCCGCACTGTGTTTAAGTTTGGCTCCAGATCGCCCAAACAGACTCACCTGGCCACGGGTGGACTCGAGTGCGGTGCTTCATTTTCACATCATACCGTAAAACAGGATGTAATCAATAAACTAAGCCATCACTCCCAAAGGAGACATTAGCGTGTCTCTGTAATCAGTCGTCTCTAATCTGGCAGCTCACCGTAGTGATGAGTCTCAACTCAGACAAACCTTATCTGAGATCAGTTTTCTGATCGACATAATTTATAACTCTGCTTGGACATGTTCACTGTAATACTGTCGGACTGGATCAACGTCTCAGCTGCAGCAGTCTCATCAGAGCGATGCCAAAATGACAGCTGACAGTGTAAAACCCAAAAATTATGCAGCAAAACAGACTCAACATCAGAGTGCAGAGCAGCATCCAGCAGGTGGATCGAGTGTAGAAAATTGCCCTAATTGTACCACAACCCAGCGAAAAACCTTCAGTCAACACAAAAAGATCATTTGCTCCCACAGCACAGATGTTTTCCACCTTAAAGATACTATACAATGTGATATGATGCGATACGATAACACTTAATTATCAGATAAAAGCTACTGGAATTCTTCTACTACTATCAAAGAATAACATAAGACAATGACCATTTTATGAATACAAAATAATCTTTTCTTATTAAAGCTTTGAAATCACATTAGACATAACCTCCCAATAAAGTGAAATAAATGTAGCTCATAACTAAATGTTAGTGATATACAGTGAACTCATTTGTGCAGTGTAGAGTAGAAAGTGTAAGGTAGGTATTCAGGCTTTGTGGAGTAGAAGCATGCTGTAAAATGCATTCTAGTTTAAGTTTGGCATCGACCATGCAAGGATACCGTAGACTCACATACATAAGATGTGTGTTTCTGTGTGTGTGCCTTCCACATGCCAGCTGCAGTTGACAGTTATGTAACTACAGATGGAAACACTGCTCGAGAAACATGTACTGTATATAAAGCAGCTTGGAATCTAAATGTTTTATGTTATTAAGCAATATTTAATGTTCACGGGTAGTGGTTTAGCATATTTTAGTTTTTATGACTTCCTGTTTCCTTTAGCGACACTATAAATTTACATTCTAGGCAAAGCGCAGGAGCGATTGTAACTCTATCCTGAACTGATTTATTCTGTCTAATCCCACCAGAATTTTAACTTCTCTTGGTATTTTGGCTCAGCAAGTAATCTGATATGCAAACTAATAAAATGGGTGTGATTGGATTAAGGGAGACTGAGAAGGAGAAAAAGAAGAGAAAATATGGGAGAGAGATCTTGATAGAAGAGACACAGAGAGTTTCCACTGGCTCCGGCTAAAGCTGCAGACTCAAAACCATATGCTTGTCATAGCATTGTGTGAGCCCATATGTGTGTGTTGGGTGGGCAGGGCTTAGCTGGAGGAAAACTGCTCTGACTGGGATCCCGCTGCTCAGACAGCAGGATCCCCAGGACAAACGGAGAACGGACAGACAGACAGATGGGAGAGAAAGACAGGCACTGGTAGACACAGACTGGAACACTGGGGGAGATGACGGGGAAGATGAGTCATAAAGAAAGAGGCGAGCAAAAGGGGATCTGACACTGCTCCTGCAGGCATAATAATATACAGATAAAGCCAATCGTTACACATAATATATGGGAGTCAGTGGATTCAGCCAGTTGGAGTGCAGGCTATTTGACAGACAGCAGACAGGGTCAGACTGCATGTTAAGTGCTGTATCAGACCGAAAGCTGCGCCAACCAGATAACCAGCAGTGTGATAAAGAACCAGACTAAACACCAGCAGCACAGCTGGTGCACATTTTTCCAGGAACCATAAAGCAAAACATCTAAGAAGAACTGATAGTGACATACCAGACTCGTGGTCCATTTTGACTGACAGGGCTGGGCTCTGTGGGGCAGAGTCTTCACTCAGAGAGTAGCTGTGCTCTGCTTGGATATCTGTGAGATTAAAAAGCCCCTTTCAGACAATATGCTGGTTTCATCTCTCTGGGAAAGTCAGAATTTTGTGTCACTGAGTCACAGGTTTATTCAGACATGACGGGAACATTACGGAGAAAGCCACAATGCTTGTATGATATCTAGATGCACAAGATCCTCATGATTGCTCACATGCTCTATGTAAATGTTTCTGGAATATTCCCTTTTAATGAAAATTGAAAACAACAGATAGAGAGGGCGCTCTGCTCTGATTATCACTGTTTTTTTCTCCCGGCGATCTGACATTTAAGCTGTGCACCTTCATCTGTCAGCATTCGATCCAGACTTGCTCTGTGCTGAAGGCGTTAAACGTTACTAGTTCCAGCCTGAGTGCAGCTGTGACTTTCATAAAGTGACGGTGCATTTATGTAGTCATGAGATCGACTTGCAGGTTTCACATTTACATAACATTCAATGATCAGCCTGACACTTACAGACAGAGGGAAGCTACGGTAACTCTGAGCAAGGCCTAGTTGTGCAGCTTTGGCAGCTGACTTTGCAGTGAGTGCCTTGTGGTAGCTCAGCCAGTTGTAGTCTGACCCAACAACTTGGTGCCTCCTCCTCTCAGACCCAGCACCTGCTAGGTAAGGGACACAAGTCCAGTGTGCTCCCTGCTGGCTAGCAGGCAGGGGCTTTGGCAGCGACAGGCTTTGTCTCTCAGATCACTGACTCTCTGTGGAGGGCCAAGCCAGTGTTTATGTCAGTGGTTGAAAAGTTACAACTCAATACATCAGGTCTCAGTGCACAGTGTTGGCTTTTGAATCAAACCAAATAATGGGACTGGGGTACTTTCTACCAGAACATTAACTGAGGAGTGCAGCAGCTGGCTGCTGTACTGGTGGATGCTATTCCAGGCAACGAGGTCATTTAAATGTGAGGAGAGAAGCATTATAAAGCAAACATTTCCAAGACAGTGGCTGGAAACTGGCTCCAACAACCAATTTCATTTACCTGCTGTAACACTGGAAATGTTACTGGCAGGAACAACCACATTTTTAGTTCCATTGCTAAAGTTTTTTTGTTGTAAAAGCCATTTTTCACAATAAAAGGGGGACTGACCTGGGCTGCTGTCGATGTCCATGTGTAAAAGAGAAGGTCTGTCTGCCAGCAGGGGGCGCTCTAATAGGTGGTCATCAAAGAAACTGTTGAATAATTCGCTGCTGAATTCGTCCATCTGGTCTCCAGAGAAAGGCTGGAACACATGCAGAGAGGCATGGAGACAAAAACTGCTCATTTTATTGAGTAAAATAATGGTTTTCCATGGGACACAGTTTTCTTTAGTTAGTCACTGCTCTGGAACCAGAGTGATGCTGTGATACTCTGGATGAATGAAAACCATGCATCTCCAAGCTCAGTGGTTCTGAATTTTGCTGAACAAACTAAAGTTGATGTAATAAACCATTTAATAACCTGGTGGATTTCTGGTTTAGGAAATGCACGATTTTCAAGGTGAAGCGAGAGGATGAGAAGCAGCAGGAAGAGTCTTTGGTGCCATGCAATTCTTTAGCTTGATGTGTCACTAAGACATGTAAACGTATTGTCATCAGCGGCGCTTCTAAGAGTAAAGCTAAAATAGGATGCCAGGATTCTACAGTTATCATTTGTGGGTATAATAATCTGCAAGTGTAAACATTAAAGCTGAGACTTCTGCCAAACTCAGGATAGTTGAGATACATACTCTGCAGACCAGCGCTGCAGCCAATCTGCTGAATCGTTTCTCCATCAATCACTGAGTGGTTTTGTCCATAAAAAGGTAAGAATATTACAAAGCATGCCCATCACAAGGTGACCTCTTTGCAGGTCATGTTTTGTCACACCACAAGAAAAAACCAAAAATGTTCAGGTTAAAACAAAAAAACAAACAATAAAAAAGAAAATCTTCACACTGGAAAAATGACTCAATTATCACAGTAGCTACAAATGACTTTTCTGTCCATCGACTCATCGCACTACACGGACTATCTGTCAGAGTCAGAAACCAGACAGACTGTGTGGATTTCACGGGAAGTCAGTCAGTGGGAAACGGCATTGACAGATTGGTCCTCGGTCTGGATGAATGAGTCACTGAGCTGAGAGATGCTGCTCTGGAAGCCTGGGACAACACGGTGCTCTGATTTCACTGGTTTACACACACACACACACACACAACATGAGTCAGCCAGTCTCAGGGAACTTGCATAAAACAATCCAAAAACATATACACAGATGGATTGGTTGGAAGCATTACTGCACAAGTTGGCTGGAGGCCCTTCACACGCAAATTAGTCTGATTAACAACAAATCCAACAGCTAATGTAAAGACATGGCAGGGATAATAAATACAGGCCTAACATCAGTATTTTTTAATATCAACAATGGATCGAATGTGTGGTGTGAAAGGGGTCACAGTCGCAGTCCCCCACTGGCACCAGTGCTTCTATAAGACCGTTTATGCTGCTGTTTATTTGAGTGCAAATGGTTTTAAACATGTTTGTGCATATTTTTCTGTTGCCTGGTAAATGTGAGCACTTCTGTGGCAGTCAGAGGGGCCTTGTCTCTACTGAGCCAAGACGTTGGTGCTCATACCCAGGCATTTCTAGATACGACTGGACTTGCTAAAAGGTTTGTTTGGCTTCGGGATTCTTGGCGTCATTAGACCTTGTTGCCTGTACGCACACATCAAAGCGTCAGTGCTTGTAGTGCTGTCAAACACAGCAGGAAGAGAGGTGTGGATGAAGGTACGCCTGCACACATTCATTATCTCAGAGAGTGTGTGTGTGTATTTGTGACTGTGGGAGGTTGAGTGTGTACTCTGGGACACATGCAGCTGTCTAATGAAACGTGGGGCAGACACACTGAGGTGGTGGGTTAAACAACAGAGGCGCAAGAACTTTGAAAGGTATCAACAAGAAGTTGGGAAGAAAGTTTGGGATTTCACTGGGTAAAATCACATATTTATCACCCTGTCAACCTTAATAAAGGTTATCTCCACAAACAGAGATGGAAGTTGACTTCAGAGTCAGTCAGAACAAACTCTCAACTAAGGCTCTGCTGAGCTACCGGAGAAAAGATCTGACAGCTACTGCTGAATACGCTCAGTGATGCTGCAGTTACCTGCTCTTTCACACATAAGTGGATACTCATTCACAAACAAGCGCACCCACACACAGGAACAGTAACGCCTTGTTCTCCTGCTGCACTAAATGTTGGAACAATATCCCTTTAAATAACCTTTAACTCTGCTCCATTAGGGAATATAGGTCACATTTACACCGGGCGACTCAAACATAAACAGTGAGAAGTTTCCTAGATGGAAAAATGTTGGTGAAACTGGCATAATGACGGGAGAGAAGGAGCAGAGGACGCTCAGCAATTTAAACAATTATGTGTGATCTAAAATGAGCTGCATTAGTCCAACAGTGAGAACCTCTGTGTTGCTAACACTCCTGACACTTTACTGACTTTAAGCCCAGCAGTACCAGCAGTGGCCCCTTAAGTTAGATTTAGCTACAGCAGCAGTTTTGTATTTAGCTGAAAACACCACCGAGGGGGATAAATATCTCCGGCTCAACACCAGTCAGTCAGAACTGATGAAGCCTCTTGGATGAGAGGTGAAACGTCTTCGACCTAGAAATCTAGTCCAGTTTTTTCAGCTTACTATGACCTGGATGACTGAGAATCTGCACAGAGAAGTTTTGTATTTAGCTTTTCTAGTTAAAGGAGTGAGCCAGTTTTCCAACACACCTGGAGCCTGTGGTACTTGCTCTCACCTGCTACTAGTTCAGTCCTGTTAGGCTAATCTTTTTCTTATCCATCAGCTGGCATGCTGGCGATGTACCCACGGCACCGTGTGTTTTCTAAACCCACACAGACATGTTCTGCTATTCCAGCTGATAAGACCTCATCCCCTGTTTCACTGATGATCCCTCCCTTTTTTTGTTATTAGCCTAAAGAGAAATCTGACAGTTGGAAATTCTGCTATATGCAGATGGATTCATTTGGATAGATCCTGAATAAGCTGCAAAGAGCTGGATGAATGCATGGTCATGATGCAGCCAAAAGTTAGCATTAAC